CACACACACACACACACACACAACTGTACAGTTGTTTATCTCTGTGGCCTGTGACTGTGAGTCGGTGCATTCAATGTGGTTTAATCTTGCCTACCTGATTTTCATCTTTCAAATCATTTGCCATCAGGCCAGCACACAAATGCACATACACACCAACATGCACACACACTGTTTAATACTGTTTTTTTTCGGACCTTCAGTCTTTGCTTTTATGCTTTACTGGTCAGACAAGGACACGTAAGTACACACACACAAATTTAGGTCAGATTATGCTCACAATGTTGCACACAAACACATAGATGCACCCTGTAGCATTTTTGCTAAGGTGTGTTTGGATGCAGCAGATGCTTCACTAGAGAGTTACCTCCAGGCAAGTCTGAGTCAGCTTCCATGTGTGTGTGTGCCTGTGTATGTGTGGTCGTATGCACATGGACACAGATGCTTTTTGAGAAAGGACTTTGTGCTATTTCTGTGTGTCATGAGTCAGACCTAATTTCTATTAATTTGCAGTCCTCACAGGTCATCAAACAATTGCATTGCTTTTGTTGCCTTATTAACTAGCACAATGTCTGCGATGTTGTACCATTAAAGGCTTTTCTTTTGTCATGTATTGACAGGCTTCTGCATGTCCACTGTAAAAGTAATACAGATGAATGGTTGCTGAAAAGGTTGAAGTACAGCAGAGTAATACATCTAAATAATATTGTTCACCAAAATGAAGAGAAAATCCTTCTTGTTGGGTCATCATATTCAGATTCAAAGATATTTTTTTGTGTTTCTTAAAGCACCTTTAGTGATCCCCACATTATATTCTCATATATTGATATTATTTATCAATATGTTTATGACATATTTGATGTAAGATTTCACAAGATTTAATATCACCACTGCTTACTTACATGTAGTTCTCAATTAAATGATCAGAAAATATTATTATGCTATAAAATGACATATACCGTGACAGAAGATGTATCTTTATCTTCTACTCTTAAGTTTTACACAGTAAGACAAGAAAGGTTTCAATAGGTGAAACAACCAAAATGTTCCGGTCTTAATGTCTAATAGCTCCTATATATATATATATATATATATATATATATATATATACATGACATTGTAACTATTTGAAACAGGAACTGGTTTTGAACACAGACTGTTAGATTCCCCGTGTTTGCCTCTGGCCAGATGGAGAAAAAGAAAGATGACAGAAAAGGGGCTTCAAAGGGAAAGATAGGAATACGAAAGCAGGTCTGCACACAAAAAAAAAAATCCACATCCACGTGCCTTTGAGGTTCAAATGTCCACACTGAAGGCTCAATTTCTGATTAGTGAACAGGCTTTACATTTCAGATGCAGAAAACTTTATTCTCGTTCTTGTTTCATCTGATCTGCCAATCATCCATTCAGAGCCCCCGTGAAGCTTTGGACTGTGTGCAAACTTCTCAGTGAGGAGAGTTCACAATAGGGGAAACCAGCTCTACAAACAAAACCTGACGAATCTCCAAAGTTTTGTTCTGAGATGTTTGTCAGAGCAGCGCCAACGTTATGCCTGAGTGGATGCTGATGAACAGGATCGGATCCTGTTCTGCATCTCTGTGTGTGTGTTTTCGTGTGCGTTTACACCTGAGAAAATCGAACAGTCTTTTGTTTATTTTTCTATTTTTTCACTCCATCCTTCTGTGACATTCTCTTTCTCTTACTCTGCTCTCTGTCTATCTTTTTAGGGTGAAACATTTCAACATATCCAGGACATTGTGGTGTCTCTGCTGAGGATCATCAACCAGACAGTCATCACAATGGGTCGTGAGCATGCTCTAATCGTAAGTACATGCGACTTTGCACGAGTGTCATATATGCCTGTCTTTCCATGAGTCAAGCATTGCACAACCTTCTGTCTTGTCGTTTTCTCTGGTGTTTAAAGTGGATTTGTAGAAAAGCCAACCCCGTATCAAGTCTTGTCTGCTCTGCAAAGTCTTTCTGAAACACAACGTATGCCAACACCAGCACATATTGTTTATAATACACACTTTTATTGCACATACAAGAGGAAGATCAGGAAGATAGGGGCATCATGGGAGCTCACACACTGTTTTGGATAATTAGTAAGTGTGGTGTCATCCAGGATTCTAATTGGTGGCAACTTGTGAGCCAGAAGCAGCTGAAGTAGCTCCTTCTGAGATTAGTGGTTAACCTCCGAGCTGCTGTGCAGTAAGCATTGTGCAAATAATGTGTTTTTATGTGTGTGCAAAATAATGATGTGGGTGTGTGTGTTTGCAACAGGGATAGACTCAATCAGAATTTCTGATAAAAGACTGTCTGTCAATATAAAATACCATATTCTTCTACGAATTGTAGAAATGGGATAACGTACCTTCACCTGACAAAATATACAGCTTTTTCTTTTGTACATTTTGGTAAGATGTGTTGCGTATGTTTTTAACATAATTTTTTGTTTCTCTATTGTAGCTTAATGAACCAGCTAGCAGTGGCAGTGTGCCCTGAATGCTACAAAGATAGGGAAATGATTATTTACGTTGTATTAAATGTGAACACGGTGATGTTTGTTGTACTGACTGTGGAACTGCAGACAGTCACAGTTAGTGGGTGCCAGATTACATGAAACTGATGATGTAGGCCTTTCTATATGTTGCACAACAACAGAGAATTCCTCTGCACAATGTGTGCAGTGTGAACTTAAGGAAGACTCCAGACATAATCAGCTAGTTTCAAATTCATTCATACAGAAGGTATGGGGGCCTCATTAGCTTAGGCTTTACAACTATTGATACAATGTTGAAACATGAACACAGGCCAATAACTAACTGTGGAGTGATAACTGGTGTACCCTTAGTTTGCATTGGTTTACAAGTGTATATACTCTGTGTGTGTGTGTGTGTGTGTGTGTGTGTGTGTGTGTGTGTGGAGTACTTCTTTGTGTTTCAGTGAGTTTGCTGCACGTGTGTGTTCGTACCTATAAGTGTATATGCCATTTGTACATGTGTTTGTATGCACGTGTGTGCTTGGAAATCTTTGAAACTAGATTGAGTTTACATCAAAACACTTCTGTCTTGAATGGTAATAAAGGAGAGAATCAATCAGTCTGCCAGACAATGATGACAGAATTTTTAATCATCTGACACGGCTTGTCAGTCCGTGATCAGCTGCCTATCACATTGTCTCTTAATGTATTCTAAACACGATCTGAACACTCTCCACTGCTCTCCAAAACCCTGATATCCTTCCAGCGAGCTGTTTCTTGGTTTCCAGGGAGCTCATCAGCTTATTTTCCACTCATATCCTCTTTAGCTCTTCAGTTGTTGCTACATTCAAATTTTGCTTGTCAAGCCGTCCAAAGACACAGTATTCCGATTAGTTGTTAAATTGCTTGGATTTTCAGGATTGCTCTGATTCCTCCGTTAATGGCTGGGATTTAGCCAAAATTGTTGTGAGGATTCATTCCCAGCTGTAGCATGAATCCATCTTGGCTTCAATCCGTCCATACATCTGTCTATCTGTCTAGACAGCCACTCAGTCAAGTGACAAAAACAATACGCCTGTCTGTCGTCCAAAGTGGCAATGCTTCATCTCTCTGTTACAGCATTATTATGGGAAAATGGTATCCTCACAGTCAAAAGTGAATCACAAATTAGCCGCTGAAGTCTGGTTTCCCGCAGAGAGAGAAATTCATGGTGATCTTGTTCTCAATATTCCTCTGAGATATATCAGAAAGGAAAGCTCAGCAGCTCCTTTGGTCCTGTTTTCCGTCTTTAGTGCATTTCTTTTCTCTCTACTTGGTTACCTGGTGTATATTTTCAAAGATGAGGATGGATTGCTGTGGAAGAAGTGCCATTTACAGGGATGCACCAGATGCCACCACTGATTTAATGACACTTAAACACACTACACACCAACAGGCCCATGAGAGAGATACTTTATTTCAAAACCTAGGGGCCTGTGGTCTCCTAAAGCACAATCACCACCCATATGCCATATGGCTAGAAAGGTTGTTGTTTTTCTAAATCTTACAGCCACCAGAAACACTTCTTGCGGAGTTTCTTTACACGGGCCTTGGTGCTGGGCCGACTGGAGGAGGAAGGGGCTGGCGTGGGCTTGGTCGGAGTGGGAGCAGGCACATCGTACTCCGCCTCCAAGACCTCCATCACCCCCTGGAAACGTCCCTCCTGCTGTCGGAAATCATGCTCTACGCTGGAGAGGAAAGAAAGAGAGGGCAGTTGAAGGGGGTAATAAGGATAAGGGAGAGGCAGCGGGAGCACAACTTAGAGGTTTGGGTCGTGTCAAATCGAGTCACATTTATTTATACAGCTCATTTTTTCAGAGATAAGGGAGGAGGATGAACAGAGGGATGTGACCACAGTTAGAAGTTTACTGTGCAGAAAGAGAGATTAGAAAGAAGGATTGAGAGAAAGGTGAGCGAAGGAGTTTTAGTAACATCAAAATGTGAAGTGTATCCCAAAATGCTGGGTTGTACTTACAGATAATGCAGCTTTATATGGAGGTGTGAAATCATGTTGTGTTCTTAACTCTGATATATGCACCTTCAGCACACACACACATACTTTCGCACAGGCCTCAACTCAGCTTATTTCACTTCCAGGATTCCTCTGCGCTTCATGCACCAATAGATCACAGTCTGGTGAGATGAGAGGAGTGGAAGGAGAAGGAAAAAGAGAGCGGGAAAGGCAGGAAAGCAAAGGAAAGGAGAGGGGCATTTGCAAAATGGAGGAGCTCAAGGAAGGAACTTTTTTTTGCTCCTCTGATATGTTCAAAGCAGACCCTCTTGGCTTTCTTTTTCTATGCTTCTGTCATTCCCCCTCCCTACTCTGCTCTGACTCGTGCTCTTTTTCTCACCGTCTCTGAAGTGTCCATCACTTCGGGTCATAGTGTAGTAGACTTGGAGTTTTTCTCTCCTTTTGGTAAGTGGGTTTTTGTGTGTGAAAGAACATGTGTTGGATTATAGGGGTGGAGCTGCATAGGGCCCGGCATCTGGAGTTAATGAGCCACATGATGAGGCAACGACAGAAGAGACAACAACCCAGCCTCCCCTCATCGAACATCCCAACACACACATCACACACACACATGCTGTACAAACACATATGTGCTCCCCTGACGCCCAACGTGTGCATCTACCACAACAAGCCCATGGCTGAGCGAGGGAGAAAAGGAAACATGCAGGGACTTTTATAAGGAGAGAGGAAAGAAGCTGATGGAGGGATAGATGCAGGAATGAAAGGCAAGCTTTACTAAAACAGGGCAGAGCAGGTCATAAAGGAGAGAAACAAAGAGACAGTGGGAGGTGAAGAAGGAGAGGATGAGTGCCACCAGAGACGAGGAGAGGAGGAGGGCAGAAAGGTCTCGGCTCCCTGAGAAGGAGTGCAGGGATGGAGGGAACGAGTGAATAAAGTAGAAGGTAAAAGCTCTCGATGGGCATAGAGGAAGAGAGATGGCTGCCATGAATAAATGATAAAGGAGATGTACTACTGTATTACTACACACACATACACACACACACAACATATATATAAGGAAAGATAAAGTGGTGCACCTGTCCCACATCTACTCAATTTATGTTTTAGAGCAGAGGACTTCTCTTTGTTGGGTCTCTCTTTACCCACACACTTCACTGGGTTTCAACCTCCCTCTCTTTCAATCCTCTCTAACTGCCTGTCTCTACCTCTCTCACTATTTTTCATGGGATTGCGACACAATGGGAAAAGCTGCTGCCCTTAATTCGGTGTGCAAGCTGTCATCTTCCGCGTCTTCACAACTTTGTGCATGACTGTGTGTTGTTGTTGTTTCTTGCCTTGTGAAAACCTGTTAAATGTTTTATCCTTTACTTTTTAGTTTAAGTGAGGGTGACCGTTAGTCATGTAACTGACAGGGTTAAGGTTTAGGTTTTGCATGTTATCTCTCTTACATATTAGCTGTGTGTGTGTGTGTGAAGAAGAACTGTAGAAGTGTTACTCTAGGTGTGTATACGTACATATCTCTCTCTGTGTGTGTGTTTTGAGCTGTTTAAGCTGTGGGAGAAAAACAGAGGGGCTGTCAAAAGTTTCTCTCCTCCTTGTCTCTCAGCATACAGATTAGTAAGGACAGACAATGGCAACACATCTCCAGGCATCCAGCCCACATCAAAACCAATTATTTTACCACAATTCATTAAGATGGATGTTACACTCCCACAAGTAATTCATCTTCTGCTTGTGCGTCTCTCTTCCCCTATCTGCCATCCTCTTTACCCAGAATCCTCTCTGTGGGTTTGATAAGGCCGTCCAATCAAACAAATGGAGCTTCTGACTTTTATGTTTTTGTCACAATGGGCCACTGAAAATGTTTTCTGCTTATGTAATATGTGTAATTATTTTGTATGAAACTTATACCAATATATGAGAAATATGATTACCAAGGAGATTCCGCATATCTATCTAAGTCCTTAATGTCTTTCAAATAGCGTGAAGTATATCCATTTCTTTGTTTGTCGGTATGTACGAGTGTGTGCATGCAAGTATGCATATGAAAAGCTTGCACGGACGTTCCCAATAAAAGCTGATTCCGCTTATCGTTGGATTAATTAGCATATGCGTATGCATGATTATATTTGCATGTGTGCAAAATGAATGAAGGGAAAGTGGAGCCTGAAAGAAAATCTCTGAATTGGATGATAATGATGCGAGTAGCAAGCAGCAACACACTCTTCAGATTAGGGAAGCCCCACGCCCCTAAAAATCTATCTATCTAATCTTAAATATCTATACTATACATATACATACATATTCAGAGCTTTGATGCTTTTTGGAAACTTTTTTTCTATGCGTCTTGTTGCTTATTCAAAATTCAGTTCCATCATATTCATGTGAGGAAATACATCTTGAAGAGCAGACTATTTTAAGAATTACCAGAATAACGCTTTTTGTGAGCAATTTTAGTTGTAATGCAAGTCCATCTTTGTTTGTATGTACTTGCATAATGACTCTGTGTAAAGTGGGGGAAGTTTGTGCGCGTTCATTCCCATCTGTGTACATCTGTATGGATTTGTGGATGGAATAGCATGTTACCATGTGGCAGTCATTTCCCCTTGGAGTTCATTATTACTTGGCCAAGGATCCTGCTGTGTTAATTAAGATCTAGGGGAGGAGAGAATCGGAGGAAGAGTGAGTCGGAGAAGTGTGTGAAGAGATGGAGAGATTAAACAACAAAGTTATGGAAAATGAAAATACAGGAGGGATGCATGTGGGGCTGCTGGGTTCGAGAGAACTGCAGAGATAAAGGCCTTGTAAAATATGCCTTCATCCCCTGTGGCCTGCAAGAGAGATTTATCTATATTTATGATTGTAAACAAGCAGATTTAGCTTTACGCATAGCTTGGGTTAGATACATGCCCACACAAAGGTTTTTGGACTCAAGGGAGGTTTTAATGCCGGATTATTCCAGTTACAGCAAGTCAATATTTTCCTTTTATGTTTCTGTGTTCTCCATGGAGCTACTGTATATGTTAAACCATACATTTCCAGCTTGTGTGAGGCGCAGTGCACATACAGAGCAGAGTCCTGGAGATTGGGTGGGAGTGGGGCTCAGGCGTTTATAGCTTTGACATTTGACAGATGGAATGAGGCAAGGATGTCCAGCGGAAACCAGTTAGATTGAAAGTTAAGGATGAAAAAAAGAGCTTGAGCAGGCATGACATGATTAGAATAAGAGAGGGATGGGATGAGGTGATGGGAGGATTAAACTACAGTATGTGGAATCAGATTGCGAGGTTGCAGCTCTGTAAAATGCAGAGAATCTAAGAATGCAATTACTTATTTGGGTCACACACCCGATGGACGACTGGGACGGGAAAGACGCATCATTTAGGTGCTGAATTAATTTGCTTGTTTGCACAGAAGATTATTTTATGTGTAAACAACTTTCCTGGAGAGAGCAACCTCGTCTAATCTCTTTCAATATTGATGAGGCGGATCACTCATAGTCTCGCATTTTTTGTATAATAGGAATATATTGTATGAGTAGCACAATTATCAGAGTGGGGGGAAAAGGGCAGAGACAGCAGGATACCAGGAAGAAAGGCAAATGAAAAATAAAATGATAAAGAAAGATGTGCTGAATAAGTGAAAAAACGTGGAAAAGCTGTGAGAAAAACAATGTGAAATGCAACATTTCCAAAGCTACAAAAGCCATATAGTTGTCAAGGAGAAGTTTCACGTCTGTTTATTCCGCTGCAGGGAAGAATGAGTTGTCATTGTTGGGTTATGTAATGCAGTAAGCTCATTATCTTGATCAGGTTACCTGTAGATGATGCAGGCTGTCTTTTGGCAGGTAGGGCAGTCGTTAATGTCCTGACCAGTTCTGTATGAGCTGCGACTGCAGAAAAAACAGATGTAAAACATTCGCACACACTTGCAAAAGAAGTTTAATTCAACATGCTTGTACGTCTAGACGGCACCGACACAGCAGATGACATCTTTGAAAAGGAAGAATCTAGCAATAGATTGTTTTTGCAGTAACAACATGCCTTGCATTTCTTTACTGGAAATAGCCTCGCTCGCTTGACTGCCGGTGTCACAATTTGTATCGGTCCCTCCACATACTTAATGCAGCAACATCAGGTGTGTTCTCTCGGGGTTGTCAAAAGATGTTTAGTGCACGCGATGTACTACAACAGGACAATCCAGGACTTCACCTGAATAGTTTTGGTGGGGGACCTGTTTGGCATTCCAGACAGTGAAAATAACCACCAAGCACTGTGTGCAGTGACTGTGTAGGTGGGTTTAGTTGGGAGCCCAACATTACATGACACAAATATCATAAGCATAGTGTTCAATGAACATTATCTTTGTATCTTTTATTCTCGCTATTGAAAAAAAACATGATTACACGTGCAAACCATGTTGTCAAGGTTGAACTAGACTACGGAGCCTGAGACAAAGAGTTTTTGGAAAATAAAGTCAGATCAAAACATCTGACAAGCTCATGCTGACTGCTGCTTAATTTGAACACTTTATTTTGCCAAGATAGTTTGGCTGCCCCTTTCACTGAACTGTTCAGATGAGAGTAGCTGATTTATGTTGATAAAATAGACATTTTAATTACATGGAGGGAGACTGTGTGACTGGCATAATTTGTTCTCCCCCACCAGTCTTTATCAAAGACAAATAGCACAAGAGAAGACAACTATTTGCTTCGGGAGAAAAAAGAAAACGGGGAGCTGAGCACAGCGACAGCCTCTTAGCTCAGCCGACATTTTTATCACAGCGGCCCACTTACATGTAGACCCTCTTACTTGCTGGTTCTCTTTCTTACTCTTTATGTCTTTATCTCTCAATTGCTCCCTCTTTCTGTCTCTTCTCTTTTGTCGGCCTTTTTACACTATTTGTCACTTACCATGAGGCATGTGAGCACACACACACACTGACGAATATGAATATGCACTCTTAAACAGTGACTCACACAGGGCAGGACAGCGTGTACACTACACAGTTTAGGAGCCTTATTTTCCAGCTTACACATTAATTTCATTTCTCAAAGGTAATATGATCGGGATTAGTCTGGAGCTAGAGACATCTGCTAACCCTAAACAGAAAGAAGCAGGGTAAAAACATGAGTCAAGAGTTAAAAAGAGGTTGTTTAGGTAGGGAGAGATGGATCATTATAGAGAAGATGAGGCTAAAAGAGGATGGGTATTTTTTTCCTTCCTACTCTAGTTTTAGGTTGTTTGGGCTGAGGAGAGCAACCAATGGGTGTGAGTGATTTGGAAGGAGGTGGTAGAAAGTGGTTATGAGTTAGGATGGGAGAAAGACATCTAATATAAACTTCAGGAGAAGAATTACTGACAGTAAAGGTGAAATGTTGAGGAGGAGGAAGAGGAGGCAAAGAATTGGGAGCGATAGAAACAAACAGAGTGACAGCTAACACATGACAGCAGGGGAGAGTGATGGACAGGTTGTCGGAGCAGAGAGAAGGGAGAAGATCACAAAATGGTGAGAGGGGATATGGACTGATTTAGTTGTTAGAGGCATGATTCACGTGTGGAGGTGCAGAAAGAAATAAGGAGGAAGAGGGGAAAAGGTATTAATTAAGAATGGAGGAAAGATAGGTGTGAAAGCGGAGGCGGAGAAAGGGATGAATAGCTTGAAGCGGGTTGAAGAACCTCGGAGAAAGGGGATGCCGTTGATTGAAATGAAGGGATTTATGGAGAGGAGAGAAACAATGGATGTGGATCAGGAGACTAGAATTTAAGAACAAAAGAATTAGCTGAAGAGAGAAAGAAAGAACTGATTAGTTTGCTTTGGTGGGCAGCTGAGATATCTCTAAGGGACACTGTTACTATGGGGAGTACATGCCCTCTAAGGTGAAGGAACAGAGGAAGGATCTACTAGCATTGACTCCAGGCTGGCAGGTATCATATATATGTATCCCTACAGGATTAAATCTCTAACACACACTAACACACACGCACTAACACACTCACTGCAGCAGTTATCCACTGGCCTGACATTTAAAATCTATTACACAGACTTGAAAGCCTGTCAGTATATATTGCCATAAAACTCAAATATACTCTCTTCTTCTCACACTCTCACACTCCAACTGAAGCACTTTGCTATTGCAATGAATATCTCTGCATCTTATTTTTTCTCCATCTCTTATCTCTGTTTTCGTCCTTATCTTCATGCCTCCCTCTTTTCACTCTCTGTCTCGGTGTCTAACCCTCTAGTTTTCTCTCGTATCACACAACATTCTCCATTTGTTATTTTTTTCATTTCTGCTGTCTCCCCCATTTACGACCCTCTCTCACCCTTCGCTGAGGGCCTTGCTCTTCTCCAGGTCTTGAATGACGTTGAGAAGCACTTTGATCTTCTCCTGATTGGACTGTAGGTTCTCCTCCACACTCTGCAGCTGCCTCTCCAGCCCACGTGGTGCGCTGCCTGCGGGTGCAACCAACAACCCTCCTGGAGCTCCATTACATTGTGCTTTTATATGAGTCTTGCAAGGCAGAGTGTCGTCGACGTCGATTGATTTGCTCTTCTGTTTTGCGTAGTCCTTGAGTTTGATCTGTTCTGAGGGTGTTTGTTTCGGTGTGTTTGTGGTCTCCTGAGTGTTTTTGGTTTGCGCTACAGGTGTGGCCGGTTTGGAACGATCGGATTTCGGAGAGTTTTTTGGTGGGAGAGGTGGAGTGTCAGTAGATTTTAAGTCACTGTGAAGGGAAGGAGCTGTATGTTTAGAAGTGATACGGACTGATGTGTGTTGGTGTGTGTGTTCATCAGCGTGCTGGATATTAGCCGAGTCATACTTGCGTTTGTCAGTCAAATGTGGCTCCATTGCTTCTGCAGATGGTGTGTGCGGTCGCTGTGTATGCGTGGTAGCTGTGGTCCTGTCTGTGTGGTTGTGCATTTGTGTGTCTGTTGTTTGCGTGGCTGAGTCCTTGTGATAAGTGAAGTCTGCAGAATGTGGCCTTGTCTGCTGCTTTGACTCTGTTGTTTTGTTCTGGGTGTGTGATGTGTGGTTGGAATGGGAGCTGTGTGTTTTTGGTATAGTGTGTGACAGCTGTGGTATTTGAGAAGTCTTTACTGATGCGTACGTGGAGGTGTTTGCCGTATCTGTGTTTTTGGTGCAATGCTGAGAGTCCAGAGCAGATTCTTTTCTTGACTGGTTGGGTTTCCGTGGCGGATTAGGTAAAGTCTGGCTGGCTGTTATTTGATTGACAGCCTTCCTGCGACATGCGCCTGTGCACGGTGTAATCTGTGATCGTCTCCTCCCACATGTCCCACAAAGACTGGGTGAGGAAGTCGGCATCACTCGACAGGGCCGCGGTGGGGTGGCGTGCACGGTCGTACAAGCACTCCCGGTCTTTAATACCAAGTGATGGCCCTCTCCTCGCAGGGACTGCACCCTCCTCCTCTCTCTGGCCGGCTCCTTACCTTCTGTGGCCTCCGTGCAAACCCCTCCCACCGCATCAGAGGCCACCACACTGCCATTTGTATACCTAGCTGTCCTTTTATCTCTTGTGTCCTTGGGGTTTATAGTTTTGATCTGGCAGTAAACTCCACTGCCTGACCCCTGTGACCCCATGTCGTCCTGTGTCAGGCTATTGATCTCGTTCTGAGATCTCTCCTTGGACACCGGCAGACTGTTGCTGTCACTTCTGATAACTCCCCCAGTCTCCACTGTCGTTTTGTCTGTTGCCATGGTGAGTGGCCGATGTGTGTTGGTCGGTTGGCTGCCGTGTCGTTTGATGGAGGGGATAGTCCGCAGTCCGGGAGATGTTTGCACCCCGACACTGCACAGCGGCCCCCATCGCCCCCCCGCTAAGGGAACCCCCAGCGCAGGCACTGGATTGGTTGGATCAGCCACCCTCCTGCCCATAATCCTCTGCAGGTTGGCTCAGCCCCCAGACGAGCTGAACACGATGCAGGCAAGCATAGACATCAGCTAACGTCAGCAGGATTATATCCAATAAGAAACCCGGAAGGTTTCCAGCTTTTGTTTATCCAAGTGAATTAGTGGGTTTGTGAGCGTTTGTATGTGAAAGTTGGAGACAGGAATTTAATATCCAATAAGATTTCAAACTCTCAATGTCCTTCCATTATTGACCTCCTTACTCGATTAGCTACTGCTGCTTGGACATCACAGTCAAGGCTTTTCTCAGTCTTTAACCAATGGCCCGCAGAGGATGAGTTGGACGGAGTCTCTGGGCATTGCGGGTTCGTTCTGGGGAGAGAGAGAAAAAGAGAGAGGCAATGAATGAGAGAAACGACAGATTGGCAAGAAGACACAGACATTAGGCACGTAAAGCACCATATAAAAGCTTCAACCTCGACTGAATGCACACAGTAACCAGATCGATAGAACTCTATCAACCTCTTATTAGACCAGCAGGTGGGTGGGAGTTACAGAGGCAAAACTCTAAATCTCATCAAGCGGATTCTCTTGAGGGAACAGAAACATCTTAAGGGTAATAGTTTATATCTCTATAGTCACAATTTGCACACACCCCAAGGAGCTATGTCATTAAATCTTATAAATTTAGGAACACAGATGTTGTTGTGGTCTTTTATTACGTGATGACACAGCGTGACGCATTTCAAATGAGGTTATGTTTGCCTCCCACAGCAGTATGTAAACTGATGATGCATCATCCCTCGACAACTCTCATGGACGCAGTTTGGAAATCTGTCTAATGAGTTCAGCATAATGATAAACTCTGCTACATTGTTTAATTGAGGAAGACAGTCATGTTGCCTAAACTCAGTGTTAATACATCTTTTGCTTTTAATTTAATTGCGTATTGGGCAGGAAAATGAATTTGAATGCCTAGCTAGGTTATGTTAAAGCATCTTCTGGTTTTGTATTATTATTTTTGGTCAACGTTTTGGGAATATTTGGAAGGGGAGGAAAATTAGAAGTTAGACCCAAGTTAGAATCACTAGAGGATTGACCCAGAATACCTGCATGATGACACTTTGATTAGCTGACAAAATTGGGGCAATATATCAGATTTTTCTGGGCCATGGCAGAAGTACACATTGGCTGGACACATCAAGGAGAAAAAAAGATGAAATAAGAGAGTAAATGGAGGTTGCAAGTTAGTAAATGCAAGTCATACTTTATTAAGAGCAAAACAATATGAAGCAATGGTTTATAATCCTATGTGATTGATTTGTGACTTCAAAGTGTCTCTGCACGAAATACAAGCATCAATTGAAGACGTGATGTACATCCACCTACACTTAAATCAGACCCCTGCCTAACTCGGGGAGCCAATATGCTGTTGATCCCTGAATATTTATGATTTCCAGCAGATGTCTGTTTAGGCAAAAATAACTGTTCACAAAAGATAATTTGTGCATGAAATTAGGCTAGTACAAGACATTAGTCAGCAGACTGAATTTCTCCTATGTTCACCACATTGTTGTCCTTTCATTGCAGTCATTGTGTGACGTTAAACCAGCTGAGACACACACACACACACACACACACACACACACACAGAAAAGGAAAAAGGCTTATTTTATGCCAGCTGGTGCAACATCACAGCAGATCCTGGCTGTGGGGTCAAGGTTGGAACAGTACAGTTTATTTTAGTTTATTTAAATGAAATATGGCCGTGTTCACCTATTAGATAAAAAATACATGAGATTACTGAGAGAAAAAAAAATCCATTCGGAGGCTTGTCTCAAAAGCAAAGGCTGACGTCGGATTCATGCTCAAGGTTTCCAGAGGTTTTAGAAATGGGCCTTTCAGTAGTGGCCTAGCAGTTAAAGATGCATTCTCACTAGCAGACTCGTACTGAATGACTGTCTGACCTCAACTCATTTTTAAGCCATAGGTCACATGCTGTTTTGATGCATGAGCAGAATAGAAATGGGCATTTTAGCCCTTTTATTCCCTTTCTTCCCTGACAGCAAGTGTAATTAATTTTGTCAATCTCTTCGGAATTTCAGGTTACATTTAATGTCATGAATTATTAAAACTGAGTGAATACAGTTTATTATGCTGGTGGGCCTGCCCATGGACAGCTTTATAGAATTGGGAACAGTTTAAATTTAGAATTTTCTCACTCTGTATTTGTAGTTTATGAAACTTTCTACACAGTGTCACACTGTACTGTGTTGTTAGTGCTCATGACAAAGTTCCTGGGACACGGGTGTGTTTGAGAGCTTCGCTGACAGCCAGCAGAGCTTGGAAACGTAAGCGCTTTACGCAAGACGCTATAGATCAAAGGATTTCTACTTCAGTGACATATTGCTGCTATTTATTTGAATATCTTGACAGTGTGCTTGGCTCAAGGACTGCTACATTGCCATGGGGTCACACATAATTGACAGTCCAGACTGTTTATGAGTGGTTGCCTTGGTAAGTGTAGTAGAAATGGTCCTGGAGTGGACCACACGGGTCTTGACCCAGAGTTCACAACATCCTTTCAGGTGTGTGTGTGTGTGTGTGTGTGTGTGTGTGTGTGTGTGTGTGTGTG